GACAGGTCCATATGAACAGGGTCCTTCCATCCTTTTCTCGGACTGGGGCCTGTTCATATACGTTCTTGGCAGATGATCCCGAAGTGGTTTGCCATTGCCTTCTTCTGTGTGTGAATGGAGTAATTGTTGGGGTGCCACGGAGGAAAACTCCGTGTTGCCTAGACCACGGCCTTGCCCAACACAAGTTATAAATTCGAACCCGAGACCCCAGGATTACAAGGCCAGCGTTCTAACCGCTAGACCACCGTGGCGTTAACTTCTTATATCGGGTGGTATTTCAGACGGCGAGTATGAACATGGATGACTGTCTTATGGCCCTGATGATAGAGGTAGTTAGCACATCCGAAACATCGGTCAATATCTCGTCACCGTGAGAACCTGAAAAATCCCACCTACGTACTTAATAATTAACTTACCAGATATGTGATTGACAGACTCAGCTTAACAAGCAGTCAGGTAGTTAACTGACTAACTAACTGACTGACTAAAACAGTCTATTGTGTTATAATTGATAAACTAAACTGAATCAAGAATAGAGAGGAGTTGGTCTGCAATTCGGGTTAAATACGCACCAGTTCTTGTTTGCTGAGGCTTTCGTTGGGGAAGGTGTAGGCATTGCCCGGAATGAGCTGCTCGAACAGCACCTTGTGCTTTGAAAACTGATGTCCTGACAGCCGGAATGGAACGACTCCGGGTGATGCCGGAACACCCGGAATGCTTTCAATACCGTCCATCCGGAACCTTTAAAGAACAGACAACTTTTATAAGGTCGCCACCGCATGGTTCGTACTCCGCTTGGTATTCTGGGGGTCCCAGGTTCGATTATCATCTTTGAGACCGCCTCTCCTGATTTGTTTCATTGAGTTAACATTTAAAAGTAAGAAGTTTAATTTTTTCTAAACGAGTTAAATCAATCTCGTTTTTAGCATTTAGCCCGGTGAAAGAGGTGATGATTATTTTACCTGTGCAGTAAAGTCACTGACAAAGTCCGAAGATCGAAATATGCTCCTTTGTACAGTTCCACCTTGCGTATCAACTCGATGAGTGTTGCCATGGTCATTGGCAGTCGTTTGTTCCGTGAATAAAGATCTTCGTTCCCATAGCAATCTCTAAGCGACGCCGGAATCGTCATTCCTGTGTTCTCCTGTCCACCTGCGTGCCCTAAAATGTTACACATTACTTGCGGATTAATTTGTAGGTTATTTAACAATGGTATATCAATTACAGAGGTTAGTCAGCGATAACTATGAGTCAGTTATATGTTGACTATGTTTCGTCCGACTTGGCTCAGTCGCAAAAGTCATTGGCTGTTGCTCAGTTTCAGGCATAACTACTGCATATTCGCTGTAGCCCCTTTTCTGGGGAATCTTTTGACAGCTCAAAGCTTTTTCGATGTTTCTTAGAACTGTTTGGATGGGGTTGGGGGGGATAATGCGAGTTTCGGCCTCTCACAAAGCCCACATCTACACAGGAACAGCACCACACGGAAAAAAAGATTGGGAAAGTGTCGTCTTTGGAGTACACGAAAATTCAAAACGTGTTATTTGTGTCACACACACACGATTTAAACGTTATCTAGAGATTAGCTTGACAAGGACAATGACGTCATCATGTGAAATAGCTAATGGGTCATGGTGTCACTGTCCGATCTCACGACTTTGAGCATCCGTCACGTTGGTGTTACTGTTATTGACGATTCTGTGATGTATACTAACGCCACGATGTGGAATCACGAACTAGACGTTAAGGTATTCACATACGATAAAGCCTGAAAGAACACTTCACAACTCGGGAACATATCCATGCCTCGAATGGAAAGTGAACCGACGATCCCAGAGCTGCAGAAGCCAACACTTTGCACAGTGCCATCATTGTTATCGGCGTAGTTGATATTGTATACAAATATTCTTCTTGGAACTATCGTAACAACCTCGGTGTGCTGTTCCCATGGAATGAGAGAATAAGTTTAGTTGCCAGTCGGATCAGGACATTGTTACTCATGGCTCACCTGTAACTTCAACGCCTAACACAGCTTACCAGCCAGTAGTGATGTGAAGATCATTACCCATGTTGTCAGCTCATGGATGTTCATGTTGTTCTTTTAAACCCAGATTTGTACCGGTTTCAGTAATGAAGGACAGAAATAATAAGAAAATTGTGTTTCATTGTTCTAAAGTTAGTCACTTATTGTCTTCAGACACTTCAGTCATCACAGACTGTGGATTTTACTAAACGTGCAGTCGATTACACCCATAACCTCAGATAGTATAATCTGAGTCGACACATGAGATAAGATTAACCTGGCCAATGAAATGGTTTTTGAATTTCTTGGTACTCTCTCTTTTTGTCAATGACTTGAATAAATTCGGATGAAATGTATATGGTACTCAATTAAGGCAGTGATTGGTTCATTTGTTAGTTGTTAGCTGCACGTGACAGAATGGGCCCCACTGTTTAGTGATCTAGAATGAAACTAGACTTAAAACTGATTAATACAAAAGGTAAAACAGTGTTGTTATTATCATCATAATTGGCTCTACAGCCCACTATGAGCATTCTGCAAACTTTCACCAACTTTCAAAGTCTTTTTGACACCCGGTAGAACTCCTTGGACCAGAGATTGGCCATTAAAAATGTTTGCCACTTTAAATTTCAGATAGATCTGTGTTCTTGAAAAAAATTTGTAAATGTAAAAAAGGTAGCTGATTTATCATTAATGTTGCAAATTGTCTGTCATAACGTACAAATTTTATCTGATAGAAGTAGAGCATATAATACGTTTATGCAGCATTGACCATGTTTTGACAAAATATGCTATAATATCTGGTTTTGATTCAAATGGTATCACTGGTATGAGGTTTAATTTTTAATATATTTTCTGTCAGTAGGTCGAAAGAAGTTTCATTTCTTCCATAACATGGTAGTAAAAGTAGTTCATACTTTGTCATTTTGGCAGGAAGTTTTAAAATTTTTGTTTCTGCCCTGCCCCTTGTTACTTAATCTTCTTACATAGTCAGGTGCTTATAAACAAAGGACAGCAGATTGTTAAGAATATGTTTGAAAGTAAATATATTGGATTGCAAGTATCACTGCCAGAATTACAGGCATTCTGAGAGCTTTGTGTTGTGCGGAACTAATAATGTCTTCGTGTAAATTGTAAATAAAAACTATTCATGTTATTTTCATAAAACCACCAGTGCCACAGTCATGTGGTTAGTACTCCTGCTTCATGTTATGAAGGTCCTAGCTTATTATCTCAGCCCAGAGACCAATTATCCTAACTGAGGATTTATATGTTTTAACTCCAGGCACATGCCTTAAATTAGGACATGACCATTCCTCAATATCCTTTCCAATTTATTAATTATTCTATTATTTGACAGTATATATAGTCTGAGATACTAACAGCATCATTAAATAATCCATAGATAAATAAAACAAACAGATAAAAACCAATGTACGACCTCGTGTTGACAATGAATATTATCGAGACCTGACTTGAAACATGATTATATACCGCTTATATGCTTAACTTTTAATTTCTAATATGCGTGTTCAGCCTTCATGACACTACAGTATAATAAGCAAAATTTCAGTAAATGAATGAACCTGTGATAGTTTTAAATGAACAGCCTGTTGAAAGTTCAGGAATTAGAAGAGGACTACTTTAAATAAATAACATAAATCACAATATTACGCAACTACACTGTCTTATAAATAACTTATATTGAATTAAATAGTAAGAAATAAAATATCTGGACTATATGAAAACATAAAATGAATATAAGAAGGGTTACCAGCATAGGTTAGATGCGGTGAAAAAAGTTTATTCGTTTATATGAATACATTATCATAATGTTATGAATACCAGCAAAAATAATCACCTAAATAACACACAAATCCTGATAAAGGGCCAAAAAGTATTGTCGATTTTCTGTAGATCATAGCCATTACATTGTAGTCGGAGGTAACAAACATAAATCCAGCCTAGATGTTCAACGGGTAGGATCTACTATGGAACTCAGTTTAGAATAACCACTACTTCAGTGTTGCAGCGAAGGATTGCACACAGAGCCTACTAGTGGACTTGACACATAGGAACCAACAGGCAGGGCTTTTCATTGCATTCAAAGTATTATGTAAACGTGGCCAGAACTGTAGGATTTCAATTTCTTCTACCAAACAACACAGCACTGTCAACCCAGATGACAGCCATCTTGAAGACAAAAAATTGTTGTAGGAGAGTACACGTAATGGAGTTTATTGCACAGAACACACTGGTAAAAGACATAAATCAAGAAATTGCAGGAAAATATTACAGTGAATTTTAAAAAACACAAATTTAATACAGAAGTTCGCTGCAGTAGTCTTGTGTACATACTATATGTACACAGAGGAATTATTAAAATTGTATTACCATTCCTTCATATTAGTCAAAAGCAGTCTTGGCATATCCCATTACATATAGAATTATTTTTTCTTTTATATTATCAAAATATAATGCATAAGAGCTGTAATAAGTTTATGAACTGAAAGTATGTCCGCTATACAATTTAATGACATATTAAGATACAAAGTATATTTATATCCCTAAAAGTTTTAAATTAAACAATACAAATACCTTTAAATTAATATTACCTTATATGGCACAAGAGAGAACAATTGTAAGTCATTTGTGTTATAAGGACTATAATTCTAGGCAAACACCTTACTAGTTCACATGCTAACTAACAGCACTCAAACTTTTCAGCAGTAGTATGACGGTGAATACAAATGAAATCAGCTGTGAGTCGCTCAGG